TCTTTTCGAAAGTTTCTCGACGAGTACGCATATTATATTTTCTTTTGCTCTTTTAATTTTACCAGCATGTTATGATTAACTAACTAGAATTATATAAACCTCATAAAAAGTTTGTTTAAAATGATTACGTATTAGAATTTCATATTTTAAGACTGATAAAATATTTTAAATTATTTTAAAAATCAATCATGTGAATGAAAATTAAATCAAAACTATTTATAAATTAACAGAGTACAAACGTTTTACTGTGATACAACAAAGAAACTTTCTAATAATATGAAAGCACAAGTAATTGATACAAGTAAAATATAGATAACAATGATATTGTTTGAAATATAATTATATACAACTATAATACAATTTGAATATACCTAGTTTCTAAGTTATCATATTTATTATTTGTTAGAACATTGAAATGAATAATGTTTAAAATATGTTATAATACGGATTTTTATATTTAATTGTTGTTAATATTACATTTGTTGTGGTTTATAATTACTACAATACAATATTAATCATAATAATATTTAGTGATAGGAAACGAAAGTGTATAGTTAACAAATTAACAGACTATTAAAATTAATATTCATAAAGTAATTTTTAATGATTTAAAATTATTGTTTAAGTGTTATATTGCGATTCTAGTTTTATACATTTATATAATTTATTTGTAAGAAATAATATAAAAAAATTAAATTACTTTAATTAAGGTATAATTTATGATAATAAATATTATTACAATAATTCTATTTAGTATGTATTTATATATTAATAATTGTCTTAGTTTTTAAAATCTTGAAAATAATTTCTAATTAAAGTTAGCAATTGTGTTATACATTTCTAATCAATAAATTATTTGCTTTAACTTCTAAATAATGCATTATGTGTGTTTATTTTTCTTAATTTCAATAGAATATTCCATTTAAAGTTATTTTATTAGATTATATTTTATTGAATGCATATAAAATTAAATGTGTTCAATTTGTTAATTGAATGAGATTTTAGTTATGGCATTAAATACTTAACAGTAAAACTACATTTTAAGCAATAATAGTGTTAAATATTCTTCGGTTGATTTGCACAACTGTACAAATAGGAGTACCTACACTGTAAGTCCTACAGGGAGTAAATTAATTTTATCAAATTAGAATTTATATGACTCCGTGTGACAAGAATATTTTTTTCGTTTTGCACATCTTCATCACATAGCTCACTTGCAGTTCATCATAGTACATTACCGTTCTCCAGCTGACGGTCGCAACCGCCTACTAACTTGAGGAGACTAATTTACGTCTCATACAGGATATGGGTAAGTCTAAAGTGTATAAGAAATATCATAAATCACAATTCTGGAGTAAGATGCCTGGCAATCATTTATTTCTGAAAATAATACAAGATAACGGATGTACTATTTTTTCTTCGCACTGTAAACATTTTATGACCTGAACATTTGTACTACCGCATTGTGGTGTTAATAAGTCGTACAAATAATTAAATTTATCACTGTGCATGAGGCTAATTGTATGCGCAACAAAATGCGAAAATATTTATTAAATTCACGTCGCTATAATATTACAAACAATATTATATAACAATTATTCAGTATTTGTGTTAGCATTTGTTATGAATAATTTATTTATATAACGTTATGTATACTTCGTGCATGGTACTTGCACCATTTATTACATTTAATGGCCCTAGAGCTTGGCCAATATTTATACATGATTCAAGTGAATCAAGTGTTATTTGTTTTTTTTTTTTACTAAAAGTACATTTATGGGTGGTATCTATTGATTTACGTACACTGCATAGTATCTGAAATAACAAAAAATAATTCGTAAATTATTATACATAAATGCATTAAGATCAAATAAAAAATATTTTAGTTGTAAACAAATTTATTTTTACTGGTCATTGATTAATACAGGTGTTAACGAATAATTCTTAAATGAAGATGTTTAAAAAATTAATTACACATCTTAAAGATTATTAAAAATAATAAATATAATACTATTATAATTTAATCCATTATTATATTTGCTTTATTCGCATGTATATGTATATACATATATATTATTATGTCGTTATACTGTTACACTGTTAAGTACATAAGAAATTATAATTTTCCTTAAATAAAGCAAATTATGTATATTTATTTAAAATGTTTCAAATGATCAAAACATTATAATTTTATACGATATACATATTTAAAAAAAAAACATAGTGAATTATTAAAATATTTTTTAAAAACTCTTACAAATTATAAAATTATAAGTCTTAAATAAACTAATCGTAGCTATGTAGTACAGAAATCATGTTCATTATAATGCATTATTCACGATACTGACTCCCATTACAGATGTTTGTTTTAAAGCGATATGTAATCAAATATATATTAAATGTATTCTATTTGTGTTACTCACGTTCGCAATTTAAATGTTCGTTTAAATTAATTGTGATTTTAGTGTTCTGAAGTTGAATTGAGTTGACCACATATTTGATCGATTAACTTGTATAACATAATGTTATATGAACAGTGGTCACCGAACTTACGTCACCGTGTCAGTTATTAAATAAGTTGATGTTCTCCAGAAAATAATTGGTTAAATAAATGTACCAGTTCATTGTCACCAAAAAATATGCTTAGTAATATTTTTATTTAATGTTCGTTGAATACTAAACATGTATTTTGGTTTAAAAATTATTATATCACGCAGTTTCTATATTTACTTTTTTCATTTTATTAAAAAGTTTTGAACTAAACTGATTTTATTCAGCCCATTTTTCATCTTTTTCACTTCCTAAAAATATTTTTAAATATGTATACCTATTATTAAACTATATTTTAAATCGATGCATGTGTGAAGCTGGAATTTATAATGTATGTAAGTTTGATTTAAATGGTAATTTTTTAAAAAGTCACATTTCACTCCGAAAACATTTTCTGAAAATTGATGTAGAACTAAATCATAAGCATAAAATACATTTTTTTTTTCAACAAGTAAACGAATTCCTCGCATATTCAACACCTATAATAATAAAAACATAATAAGAAAAGAAGATTAAAAATAACAAAAGTATTCAATAGTTTTATATCTATTTCTTAGATAAATAGATTTTTTGTATTCATAATATTATTTGCATGTTTAATTTAGATTTAAATAAGTTATTTGAGTAGACATAATGTATAACATAATTAATAATTGTTATTAAATTAGAACTATTAAATATAAATATTTATAAAAAATGAATAACTTATTTTTGTTTAACCACAAGGATTCGGTTATTAGTTATTATCCATAGGTAAGAATAACCTTAATTATGTAACGGGGACAGAATTTTAATATTAATTAAGGACAATATTCTCAACCTAGCATTGATAAAATAATTGATTTTTTGAGTGATAAAAACAAGTTTTGGATGGCTTAAGGCACCTTACCCATGTTCACTTTTATCCCTATACCTATACATACGATGATACAATATTTATTTGATACATTGGGTATGTACTCGTAGTCATATTTATTTTTTTGAATACTTATTACTTCTATGAATATTGTAAATTATTCTTCTATGCAAATTTTAGTGTTTTTCTAAATATTTCAAAGTTGAAAATTATTTTATAAAAGCGAGTGCTCTTAAAAACAAAATAAATAAACTTCTTCTATTTGCATGCAGAATATCATGATCATAAAGATATTTCTGAGCTCGTGTTACATAGGCATTTTTTGTATTAAGTCTATTCTATATTTAAGAGTTTTAAAGGATGAAACCTTAGATCTTAATCTCAGTATATAGTAGTTGATTATTCTGAAAATTCAAATATCCAAGTTAATTTTTTTTTCGGTTATTAATATTAAAATTACGGCTTGTTCGAGACAGTTGTAACATCGTAGCGTTCTTTAAACCTCACGGAAAACGTATTATCAAATTCATGTATATAAAATCGTGCAAAGCAAAATAGTGCTATCTTTTTGGACAGGAACTTAGAATATACATAACTTGTGCATACAATATTATAACGTAAGTTATCTAGCGTAATGCTTACTAATCTATCGACGACAAAAATAGTGTATCAAACTTGTTTCACGTCCGTGAACCGAAAAATAACTTACGTCACGCATATGTACTTATGTGCGTATTTAAAACATAGATAGGTATTTAATTGTATATGATTCAATACACATACACATACTTATATACTTATTTATATACGAGTATATATATGTTGTGTGTGTGTGTGTGTGTGTGTGTGTGTCACCTGCCAATAGCAAGAGGCGGATATGGTGTTCTTGTCGTAGCGTAAAACCGTCTAGCTAAATCATGGGCCCATTTTTGCGCTGTCAACCAGTGGATTGATCGGATTTTAAGCGGTTAGAGCCGGCGGCGGTGGGACAGCAAAAAAAAAAAAAAGTATTTTATATCTCCTGGGTACCGCGTGTACTGAGCAACATATAGTAGCATCAACACCATGGGGATCGCGAGTGCATTTTGATAAATAACCCAATTTTCCCTTTTATGGCAGCTATTAATTAATGGATTAGGCCGCGGTAATAACTCGGACGTTGAGTATCTCCCGATGTATAGGTATGGTGTTTTTTTTTTTGTTTATTTTCTTCTTTCCTTTATTCCTCTTTCTTTATCCGATTTTATATCTTTATCTCATTCTCTCTCTCTCTCTAGATATATTTCTATCTATCTCTGTATTACTTTCTATATTTCTATTTATCCTTGCATCACTTTCTATATTGATATTTATCTCTATATCACTTTCTACATTTCTTCTTAATTATCTACGTTTCTCTGCATAAAACTGTTATACTCATACGTTATTACGTTATCTCTCAGTACTTCTGAAATCTTTCGTCGGACCGCGGTCATGGTCCGACGAATCATTCGTTGGCTACCACGAGGAGCGCCCGTCGCCACGCATTTAGCGTTCGAGGTTATGATGTTTCAGGCGGAAAAGGGATCGACGCGATCGCGGCATTCCCGTGCGTGTTACTGGACGCCACGTACGTCCGTGACACTAGCGTGGCCGGGACTTTCACGTTTTGTTCATTTCGCGGTCCACGACGTCGGTGTACGAGAGTTCGCGTGTGCGTCCACATCATATCATCTCACTAAGATTGTTTGGAAGTTTATTTTTACTTATTTTCCCTATTATTTCAACTATTGTTATTTGTGAACCATTATTGTAATTATTCCCCTAAGATCATATTTTTTTACCCTCCTCTCGTTTCTGGCCCATCCGACGGTCTTGTTTTGTAGTGGTTTTGGTGCGTGGTAGAATATAAAATTATAATTACAAAAATCGCGAAAAGTTTTCACTCGTGCGTCTCCGATTTTAATATCAATTTTCTCGGGAACATTCATCCTCGCGGTAGTTGTTATTTTTTTTATCTTTATTTTTTTGCTTTAAAATGACCGACAGCAGTTACAATTCACCGGCCAGGAGTTACGGCTCACCGGCCAGAAGTCTAAAAATGCTGGACAGGGTTTACGGATCGCCGTCTCGGTCGTACTGTGGCGATCATTCTTCGGCTACCGAATCTGAAGGCGAAGAAACGTTGGACTTGTTAACTGAAATACCGAGTTCGCCCGACCAAACTGTTATGGACGGTTGGCTAAAATTCAGGGACAACAAAAAAGTGAGTGTAACAAGAAAAACATTATATATATATATATATATTCACTGTCGAAGCTGTACAAGCGGTATAATATATAATTTGAATGCGTACAATTAACAGACGGTACAGCTGTTACAGATACCATATGCGTACAATTTAGATGAATTCTTTGTTAATTTATCTATGTTATATCGGAAATGGTAGTTGGATACATTAAAATCGTATAGTAATGAGATATCTGCATTTGTGTCTCAAAACCAAATTATATGGTTTAATGTAATTGATCATCAGCTGTAATGGTTTCATCGACTATTTGAAAATGTATAGTTTATATTTTATCTTTAATTCCTATAATATATTATTATTGCTATTGATTTAGAAAATTTATAAATTTGATCAACGATCTATGTGATTACAAGACACTTAACTTAAGATCTTATGGAGTAAATGTATCTTTCAATCTACCGATAGTTTCAAATTCTTGTAATTGGAGTGTATTTTCTATTCATATACTAGGGACTTAAGCAAATTGTATTAAGATTTATTTTGTGGAGAATCTTAGTATGTAAAAGAAAGAAGTTATTGAAATTTAATATCACCTTGGTTAGTTTATCACACATATACACAAGTGTTAAATTTAATTTGAACTTAATTTGAAAAAATAAATGTAAAATTTTCTTGAAATTAAAAAATTAAAAAATAAGTTTTATCAATTTTTCGAATTTGTCATTTTATAAAAATAATTTTTTGCTCTTTGGGTGGATTTTGTTTTAAGAGGAACATATTTAATACATTTTAAAGCTGTTACTTCCGCTGTTTAAATTAAATTAAATTTAATTCTTATAGTAGGACATTTTTTATTTATTTATTTTTTATTTAGCTTTCAACACAAAGTTATTATAGTCAACAATTAAATCATATGCATAAGATAACTAATTATATAATTTACATAATAACATTAATATACATTGATCATTATCATAAAATAATATTAGTGAAACATAATAATAGTGATAATAGTACAACACAGTTAATTATGGTCCAAGACCTATTCGATTTTGTCAGTAAAAGCGTTTCATCAGTTATTTTTAATCATAAGACTGAGCAAAAAAATGAGATTTTAGATCTTGTAGTAATTTACTTTAATTAGCGCTTTTTCTAGTAATAAAACATAATGTTCCAGACTACTCATTTATTTATTTATTTTTACATATATACTATTTATTTATATAGTAATAAAAACTTCAAAGAAAATTTACGAAGGTCCTTTTTAACTTAGTAATATTAAAATTTAATTGGCTATTTGTAGATTTTTTCTAAATTTGAATTTACATTTTTATATTTTATGTAGGTGGAAAAAGCAATGAGAAATAATGTGAAATGATTGATTTTTTTCAGTATTTAATAGTATTCTCTAGTTTTTATTTTGATATAGTGAGAAATTGTATTCTAAGTATAGACACTTAACTATAAATTATTTCTATAATAATATTCTTATAAAATATCATGTATCTAAAGTGCCTCAAAGTTCTTCACAATTCTTTTACAATTTTACTATGAGAATATAATACATATTGATATCAACTTACTAAGCTTTGCTCAGAATTGTTTTCTGAATGCATTGCAGTATGGATTTTATTAATTTAAACAAATCATATAGGTTTACTTTTGTATTTTTCCCAATTTCTTCAACATAGTTAATATAATTTTTATAATTTTTTTAAGATAACTTATGAAATAAAAATGAAAAATGCAATCAACATTTTAATATTTATAATTTTCTTGCACCTATATACATTTCTAATGATGTAGAAAGTGTTTGTAAATATAACTCAAAATACCTTTATTTTTCTTTTCATTGGTATAATGATTCATGTGTTTTAACAAAATAAAAATAACTAAAAACTGTTTGAAAAATTAAACCTTAAAATAAATAAAGTTGTTACAATTTTACAGTATTGAAAGAGGTTTTGAATAACCCTCTAAATAAAGGAGAATTCAAAATAAAATAGTAAAAGCTATAAATAATCAATAGTTATTAAAAAAAATGTATATTAAATATCACATAATATAAAAAAAGTTATAAAATATAAAATAAAGGTAAAAATGTATTTGTGATAAGAGTGTTTCTAAAGTTTAATGTAAGTATTATAAATGGATATAAAAAATGATCTTATCCAACATATAAAACATCAGATTCTAAAATTATTAAAAACATGGTATTACAACAATATGATATTATTTATAATCTATGATTTAAACTGACAATAAACTATAAAATATTAAATTATTATTTTATTTTATTAAATTTTCTAGTGGTTACCAAAATTATTTTATTAAAACATAAAAAACAATAATTTCTAATAATTTTTGATTTTAGTATCAGCAAAATATACGTGAATGAAAAATAATTGTAAGCGAAAGATAGGCTTCGCAATAATATTGAAGATATTATTTAAACTATAACTACTTTACATAGTGACTTTTTTCACAGGTTTTTTAAATTTATCCGAAAATTTAAAAAAAAATAAACACATTTAATTAAGTTAATACGGAATTGTAGTACTATTGATTAATGAATACAAATATTTGAGCATTTTAAGCATCTAAAAAGGATTTTGAATATATTTAAAAAAAAAACACACGTCATCAAACACCAATAGCTTTTCGTCTCCTTCAATCCAATCAGAATTTGAGATTTTATAATAATAATAATAATAATTATTATTATTATTTTTATAGCATGGAATAAATATTTAAAAATATTTGAATTTCTTAAATTATTTTAATATTAGATGTGGTATACAAGATGGATTTGTGTTAGATGATTCTAATATAAAAAGAATCAACCGTTAATGTAGGCATTGTGTATAATTGTGTAACACTCGGTGTCAAATATTTTTAAATATATAATAATTATAATTAAAATAGGATCAAAAATAATTTAAAAACATTTTTTTTATTTGTATATATTGACATGGTGTTTGATATTTTAATATTCATATTGATTATAAAAGGATTTTTTTTTTTTTTTTTTTTTTAAATGGCAAGTCGTAGTTAATGTGATAAGTCATTTTAAAAATCAAAGTTAAATAATATTCCTGAAAATAAATAAATTATACATATTTATTTATATAATTATGTTATTAATAATAATACATTAAAATATTTTTAAATATTTTTAAATATTTTTAAAATTTTTCTATTTTTCATATTTACTCATAATATTAGGTATATTAAACAAGAGATTAGAAATTTTATTTTATTCGTACTTAATAAACAGTATGACACATAGTTCTTTGGATTTCTTTTTCTTTTTATTTTAATTTAGAGATGATAATGTACATTCATTAGGATACTATAATTACTGTACACGAATTGTCAAACCATCCAACATTATTATTCGATCCATATTTAAGCTGATGATAACTTTTCCCAACGGTGTTTACTTTTTTTCTTTACTTGTCAACAATGGTAATAATAATAAATATCCCGAAGGTAATTCAGAAACTGTTTTTATGTACGTATCGTCTTGTTCAGCAGGTCTATAATAAGAAAGATCTCCTCGTGCACATTTTCCTCTTATGTACATAAAGTTACAGCATTAGTTTTTCGTCGGTTTTCGCGTGTGCAAAAGTAAACAGAATGATTTGTCCGAGGGAAATTTTGTGCAAACAAAGGGTCATAATGTAACCAATTAATTCTAAAATAAGTCCGAACGTTTACATGTAAAACATTATATTATAAATTAATATTGTAATTTTAATAAGGTTACAAATTAATTCAAAATCGTAAATAAATGTATAGTATGAAATAATAAATATAAAACCAAAATCAAAAACTATTGAATGAAAACATTGAAAACTATTTAAAAACTATTTATTTATCTATTAATTTACAAATATTAACATACTTGTAAAATAATAGATAAATAAATAAACAAATAGTTGATACGAAAAATTATCTATTTGTTTAATTATTTTTGTATATTTTATAATACAATTATAATTGGATCTTTCCAATTAGCTATACTAAATGTTTTATAACAATTTTATTATTATTTTATATCAATTATCATTGGTTATGAATAGTATTTGTCTTCAATAACAATATTATAGCATACACCTAAAATGTACAAAGTAGACAAATATTAAATACAAATTAAAATTTGTAAACAAATAGTTGTTTAAAACAACAATTAGTTTTGTTGACTCATTCTATTAAATTATTTAATTTTTATTAGTAATTAATGTTTTTTTTATTATAATTTCATAAAATTAGTACAACGACACTCTTAATAAGCATTAGATTAAACAAGTTATTTAATAATTAAATACTTCAACAAATGATGTTATTGTTTTTAAAAATAATTTATTATAATTTCTACGGTAAATTGAAAGTCAAACAAATATTCTATTTATATAATTTCCACACAAGAAAAGGCTTCCATAGATTTTTATTTATCTACAGCGTTAGACTTAGCATTGAGTATTACATATTCGTAGGGTGTGATAAAATGCAGTTAGCAAACAAAGTGCTGAAAACATTTTTTTTTTTTTTTTAAATGTTATGGTTTTTAAATTTTTAATGTTTTATGGGTACTCGAACTTCTTTTTTCATCTTGTAGTATTTATAATACAAAAAAATCGATCCCAGTGTGATGATTGGGAAAATATTAGTTATCAAATCATATACAAATTTAGCTTGTACATACTCTGAAAGAAAGGCGTAATCTGGGAGGGGGGGGCAATTGTCCCTCTAGAATAAATTAGGAGGAGCAGTCCCCCCCTCTGATATTTAACATACCTTGTTTTAAAATAAGTACAAAACAGCTGGTTATAGCTATTACTATAATTTTTTTTTTTTTTAAACCTTAATTTTAAATTTTCGCTTATCTAACATAAAGTTAGAAAATGAATAATTTTATATAATAATATGTAGGTAGTAAAGTGGCGTTTAGCTTCGGAAACCCTTTTCATTAGATATGTAATTATATTTTTGCCCCCCCCCCCCCGATAAAT